GGATTTTAAATCCTAACTAAAAACCTAAAGGTTAAGATAACTATAAGAGATTCTATTCCTTATATATTTTATATAGTAGGGTTCCGTTCTTCTTAATCTAGTTCTTTTTAAAATTTAGGAAAGTACCTATTTTCTTAAATATAAGGTTATAAGTAATAAGGTTTATATAGAAATTTAGAGAGTACTTAGTATTATATAAAGTTATTTTCTTTATCTAATTAGTAACTAGATTAATACTATTAATTTTAACTTTTCTAATTCTAATAACTATTAAGGCTATATTACTAACCTTAATTATACTCTTAGTTTCTTCGAAAGTAATAAAGAGGTTATAATTATTATAAATATAAACTTATATATCTATATTAACTAGCTATCTTTTATTTATTAGTATAGTTTTATAGGTTTAGAAGATAGTATCTAGAGTTTCTTCTTTTATTATAAAAAATCCTAGTTCTTTACTTTATATTATAGTATTTACTTACTAACTTCTATTCTTTTTAGGTACTATTCCTAGTTCTTTATATCTTTTATTAATAAATACTTTCTATATAGGATCCTCTTTTATTACTTTATCCTAGGCCTTCTTATATTCTAGGTCTTAGGTATACCCTTCTAGAATAAGATCTAGGTAGGCCCCCTAGTATTTCTATACTAGGTAGTTATATTTACTACTATATCTATAGGGACATTTTCTTCTAAAGAATAGTATATTATTTATAGATTTAGCTTATTTACTATTTCTAGTTCTACTATTCTTATTAGTTAATACTAGCTAGGCTTCTTAATATCCTTACTAGGTTAAGAAAATAGCTTTTAATATACCTTTTTATATAGCTTATCTACTAATAGTACTATCTTATTAAGTCTTATAGTAAGATAATAGTTTACTAAACTTAATAGTTCTTTCTTATTATATCTTTTCTTAAGATAGACTTTACTATATATCTCTAAGTCTTATAGTAAAGAATTCTAGTAAGATAGTTATAATTACTTATAGGAACTATATCACTATATCTTTTACTTTACTAACTTTAGCTATAATATAATAAGTATATAGAGTTTCCTATTTTAGTAACTATTTTTCGATATTTATATTCTAATCTAGACCTTAGTCTAGATTATTCTATTCTACTCTTAGATTTAATCTATATATAGGGTTATACTTAGGAGTATAGCGCTATTATAAATTTCGAAGTAGTACCTAGGGAGAATCCTAAGTTAAGAATACCTAATAAGATAGGAAAACGTTTAATTTAATAGTATTTACTACTATATTAAATCCTTAGAGATCCCTATTATAGGTAGTCTTCTTTTCTTAGTATTTACTATTTAGAATATTAAAGATATTATACTAGTTATTTCTATACTCCTTCTTAATATCTTCCTATTTTAATATAATTAGTATAACTAGTCGATCTAGTTCTTTTTTAAGTTTAGGGTTATAATAATCCTAAATATTATATATTTAAGTAATAGCCTAAATAGTTATAAGCTATAGTACCTAATTAGTCGAATCCTTTAAAATTACGCGAGAAGGTATTATAGAGAGAGGATAATAGTCTACTATAATATCTAAATTGTAGTCCTAAATAAAATTCTAATTATAATTAGTTATTATTACTTTTAGGGTTAAGTCTTATTTTTAGGGATATCCCGGTATATAGCTAGGTATCTTAATATTAATTAAATGGTATATCTAAAATAGGATAAAAGGTTGAAAAATTGTAAGAGTTAAGTTTAAAGCGATTCTAGGCTTATAACTAACAGAAAAACGGTAGTAAGGCAATTATATATATAGTAGAAAAATCTTAATAAATTCTCTAAATCTCTAAAAATGATAATAGTCCTAAAATATAATAATCTTATAGATAACTTAGTAATCAAAATAAATAAAACAAAATGAAAGGATGTTTTTCGGGCAAAAAACTGCGGGACTAGTTTTTCGGGCGAAAAACCACCTAAGTTGGTTTTTCTGCAGAAATACCAGCCTGGTCAGTCACGTGACCCAACTATATCAGGAATGAAAAATAACAGTATTCATCCTAGATTCTGACAGTGAAAAGTTTCTGTTTTCTGGGTAATTTATGTATTATGTGACGGAGTTATACCTAAAAAAGGCATGGGAAAATGATAGGATGGCTATCTCCCAAATTTTAGTCCTACTAGGGCAACTAGTTAGCACAGGGTAGCGTTCTTGAACGGGGGATGTCCATATATAGTTTAGTCTGGGGAAAGCTGATTTAGACAGTCGGTCTATAGCGTCCTAAGCGAAGGTCCACAAACAACTATGAAATAGGCAAAGGCTACTCCAGCCCCAAAATCTCATGAAAACCCCATTTGAAGTACCATTCTGTCGCTGCAATGCGGAAAGTAACGCGTGGTTTTCAAGCCTGCAACCACCTTCTTCAGGTCCACAGCTTTAAGGTGGTCCTAAAGCTCCCAGGAACTGTGGGGCTTGCCTCGGCCCTCCAGCGCCGAAACAAGCATGTTCCGAGATTACTTAATGGGGTACTTCGCCTCGAGAGGGCCTCAGCGCAATAAAACGGCTTTTGGTGCGGGTCCCAATTTCGTATATTCACCAAGTGCCGATTTTATGCAGAACTAAGCTTCCGAATGTTGGGTTGTTGTTGAAATGGCGATTTTCCACCTTGCTAGCGCCGACGAAGCCCACCGCCAGGAACCGCGAATTCTCGCGCATTTTTCGCGATATTGGTTTCGATTGTTTAGAAGGGATTCGAGTGCTTTGAGGATCCGATCCTTGATTTCTTTATTGACTTTAGGCATTTTTGGCGGAGTTGTTGGCACTAAATGAAGCTTTCTTTCACATGGGGTGTCCCATTTGGGTGTCGGGCCCTCGCATAGCGAGGGCCCATAATTTTTGTAATTTTTGTGAGGCCCGGTTATTACGCAAGTACTATGATCCGCAGAACCTGAGCGTTTGGGTGAGCAGCCAACGTAGAGATGTTCATGGTCAGGTGAATTTCACTGATGCCGGGACCCACTAGAATTCCGTCGCAGCATATTGATGATGCTAGCGCTTTCTTCATCGTGGGTCATAGCTGCCGGTCCACTAAGCTGTCGCCGAGTTATCGCTAACAAGCGACGTAGCATCGCCTTTATAGTGGGGACTAATTTAAAAAGGACAATGCTGGGTCAACGTGGAAAAATATTTTGACTACGGATATCTCCGTGGCATTTTAGCAATGTATATTCAAGCCGTTCCTAGCGAGCAGAGTTTTTCTCTCGGCTTTGTTGCTCAATGCTATGCATAATTTCTACCAGTTTCTGTGCGTCGTCTCGAGTCCGTTCCATCAGCTCATTCTGTTCGCTGATCCATTGCAGTCGTTCCTTCCAGAAATCCCACCGCTCCTTCGAGAACGATGAGTCTCCTTTCCATAGATTCCAATCGGGCTTTTTGTTTGCTTCAGCAAGGGTGAGGTCCTTCTTTCCTACAAACTTGAAAATAATGGACCCTGCAATCTCAAAAAAAGGAACCATAGCATGAACATCAGTCTATAGGCCGAAGTCAGTATCTCAAGCACAGTGATCATATTCTTTTGCGACCCACATTCAGCATAAGGATGTAATTCGTAGCCACGCGGCCATCTACAAGGTGATAGCGCTGTAAGAGCGACGGCGAGGGCGGCGGAAGTGGCACCGGCCCGTGTTTCCACGGCTCCTGTTCTAATGCAAAGACGGGGATTCGCAATGCTATGCTTAGTTCGCGTGAACCAGGGCCATGCGGTGGATATGCGGAAAGATAATGCGCACAAAAAGCGCTGCTACTGTGAAAAGTGTACCACCCTTCAAAAGGGTAGATACCGTATCGCATTTCCCAGTAACCTGTAATCAGAATATTAGCCCCTACATTAAATCAACATAAACGACCCTCTGGAAGGAATCTTGGGCGAAAGCCTTGTGTCCAAAATATTGGAGAGAATCAAAGAATGGGATGGCCATTTTGCATGATATTTTAGGGGAGGAAGAAGTCACGCACGGTCATGAGTCTCTTCCCAAATGTCCTTGAATGCGGCCAAGTTCCTCCAGTCTTCCAGCCGATCCTGGAAGCGTGACGTGCGAACCTGTTCTTCGGTTCTATCAAGGTCTGGAAGAGCTCTTATTGCCTCTACCAGCTTCAAAATAGCGGGTTGATAGTTCGGCATCTCAATAGCAGCATCCCAAAGTAGCCATGAAACGCGCTCCCCTTTATCCACAGCTTGACTCTGGCGCTCTTGAATCAGGTCATCTTCGTTACGAAGTGACATGAAGCGATGAGCAGCGTCATCTACTGGAACTGCATTGGCAGTGCCGTAACGCTCAACAAATTCCTGCAATATTTGAATCTCATCCCAGGTTGGGGGATCTGGGTCGCCATCCTCTGGGTCTGGATAGAAGAAGGGTTTCCATTCGGCTTTGTACTCTTCCATTGTTGTGATGGAAGTTGTGGTGATTTGATCTGGGGTCGCCCCAGTCGGTTCTGACAACGAAGGCGTACTTTCAAGTGAAAGTGCTTAGGAACAGATCGCTTTTTCGGGGCAGTATGGTCATACAAGAGACAAGCAAAGGAGGCTTCGCTGGTGGTCAGACCTCTGGAATCCTAAGTTGCTCCACAATGGATGCTCTTAGCACCCATATAGTGTCTTATGTATGTATCAGCGAAAAATGCTGGCCAAGAAGCGCTATAGCCAAAGTAGTTAGGGGTGGATTCGAAAAGAAATTTGAAGAGTATATTCGATTTCGAAATCATTTTGCGATGTCATTATTCGCATCCGAAATTTCTATTCGAAAAGTTATGCGGAAGTCTGCCAAGAAATTGGTTACGTAAATGATTGGTTAACGCCAGCAAATCCACCCGTGATTTAGCGTCGTCTTGTCGCGCACGTTGTGTATACCAAATCCTCCTTACATATGGATCTCGTAATTTGAGACTCTAGCCTGTGGATCTTCTCACTATGGTTGATAGCAGTATTTATTTTCCGCCTACAATAGATAACAGCTCATGTACTCTCAGTGTCATTCCAGCTGTAGGTTGGCGCAACACAGTAAACACTTCCAGCCTTCAAGCTATCTGAGCATTTTCCCGGGTCCAAAGAAGGGTTTACCATCGTGAAGACCGCATGTGTGATACTATACTGACCACATATACCCACACAACTATCTCCACTCTTGGCCTCGTACCATTTGCCACAATTCCTTGTTGTTCCTGTCGCCAGTGTCGCATTTGCAGGTGGCTCGACCTTGCTATACACATATCCATTCGATTCAGAGGGAGCAACGCCACCACCAGTGCTGCTTCCATTGTGCATGCCGCCCTGTGGAGAGAGACAAATGGCTGTACCGTAGATCTTGCTTGCTGGCTGTAGATTGTCGCAGTCGTATGAGACCCATGGGTTGTATTTGCGTACATCACGATCTTTCAGGGAGTACGCGTACTCGATATCTGAACAATTGTCGCTGGGTTGGATGGAATATGTCTTCTCACAGGTTATGGGAAGGCAGAATTTGAGTCCCGAAGAGAGGGAACTGCAGTCAAGGATCTGATTTTGATTTCCCATGTACAATGCCGCTGAAGAAATGCTCGTGTCTTCGGCGATCGATGTGCAAGTGTCGCCGTCCACGGTGGTGTAGAAATTATCCGATCCGCAGAATTCAGTTTCCTTTTCTGGGGTATTGCGAGGGATTTCCAGGACTGTGGTCGGGGCATTCAATCCGCAACGCTTATTGATTGCTTGCAGGACCGTCTGATAGTAGTCGTCGTACGCAGAGTAAGGGGTACGTTGCATCATTTGAAGGCGTTCGGTATAGCAGTAAGAGCATAGCTCGTTATCAGGCATTGCTGCAGTATTAGGGACCAAGGTGAAATCATCAATGACATCTGTCAACACCGGTTAGATGAGTTGAGTAATAATTAGAGGTGTTTAACGTACCATTGCAATACTTCCCTGAGCTCTTATCCTTGCTGCATGTTTCGTTATAAGCAGCCCAAATGCGACCACCGAACATCTCCGCAGGCGTTCCACTGATGTTGTATCCGGCACAGTTAAGTTGCACCGATTGATACCATGCCCGGAGGTTCTGACCACAAGTCGCATCACAAATCGACTCAGTCAGGGTATCGTTATTCAGAGAACCGTGATATTTGGCGGACATCATTGAGTTCAAGACTGGGTCGCATTTGATTCGTTCCGTCATCGCCGACTGGCAACCGATTGGAAGATCAAGAGGTTCCAGTGTGGAGGTGCTGTAGATACTAAACCCGTCGAATTCTCTCAGGCCCGCGGTTTGATTTGCACCACCAAGCCAAGCAAGAATAGACGAGAGAAGACCATTCATGTTGTCCTTGGCATAAGTGGGTGTTCCCTTGTAAGGTGTGATCATCTCCACAATAGCCCTAGTGCAAAGATTATACACCCAAACATCGGTACTTTGTTCAACCCCGAAAGCCCGTTGCTGACAGTCATTCGTTTCGAGGCAGTCTTGGGAGTAATCCGAAAACCAGCTGTAGATACCAGTGCCAAGCACCCAAATAGAGGAGGACTCGACGATGCGAACACCCCAAGATACCGCACACTTGGTTGAATCACTCTTGCAATCATCAAAATTCGGGTCATTGACAAACATGCCTGGTGTGAAGGGGACTGGGGCTTCCGGCGAGGGTTGGTAATAAGGCGATTCTGTCTGAATCATTCCCATGAGAATATTCTGCGCCCCCGAAAGCTGGTACTGGTAGAGAGTACTGTGTTCCGATGCAGTACCATAAAGCCATGCCAGTTGACTCTCGATCAGAATACCACGGGCTGCGTAAACATCAATCTGATCTTGGGAAGAGACGTCAAGGTCATGGTCAGCCACCCAGACCCAGATGTTCTCCAGGTAGGCCGTGGAAGATGAAGTCAGATGAAGCAAAAGAGATGCAGCAATACAATCTTCATTGACACTTCCCGTGTTCTTTGGACACTGTTTGTTCTGGAGGTTCGACCCTACAGCACCGCCAATGCGGATGTGAGAATCCCACATAGCAGCCGATCCCTTCACTGATTGCTCAACATTCCACTCTACAAGAATCGCACCCGCCGTAGGGCCAGAGACTGTGAAAAGTAGATCTTGAATTTCCACTATGCCAACGTCACCGGAAGCACCGACCCTAACGGCAACTCGGGGATCCTCCGCATCTGCAAAATTAGTACCAGTTGCCATGATCTGAGACCATGCCTGACCCATAATGCGTGATCCAACAGGTACATGCAATGTATCATGAATCATGTAAACACCGTGTGGAATGTATACAATAGACGAAAGATTCGCAGCATAAGACAAAGCGTAATTGAGAATCGCAGTGTCATCCGTAGTCCCGTCGCCCTTGGCTCCAAGGTTCTTAACATTGACGATTTGGTCGGCTGCGAGAGTCTCGTATTGAGGTCGACGACGAGTGAAGAGGTTAGAGTCAACATAGGCTTGTGTCCCTAGTAGCTGAGTCGGTCGCAAAATAGCAGGGATATCCTCACCATCAGCAAAGGATCCAACTCCAGATGCATCGCTGACCATTCCGAAACCCCATGAAGCTTTGCGGACCTCATCACCACCAGCAAGAAGAATTTTATTCTGAACGGAATCAATGATTGCGGTCTTGACGTTGAAGAATCCGACATTTTGCAACAACAGAGAAGTCGAATTTTCCGCATGAAGTGAGGTTATGATTCCATTCGGGGTATTGGCGATGATGGCATCAGTCAAGATGAGAGATCCAACACCTTGGCCCGTACTCGAAGGTCCTCCGGCCTATCTAGATTAGCATGACTTGCCAAATGCCATTCAGCTATTTTGTCTATGACTCACTCCACCCACAATTGTGAGTCCATTCGTGCAAGATTCAATAACGTAGTCCTGCATGGTCCACGCCCAATCCCAATGAACCTGAAGAGCGGTGTTGCAGTTCACGAAGGTGAGCTGACTTGAAGTGAACTGTTGGTTACCAAAGTAAGCACTATGCATAATTAATTAGACCCCATTGATATTCAAACTGCACAAGAATGTCATTACCCAAAGTTGCCTCCCACAAACGTAAGGTCAGCTAGAAAGCCTCCAGATCCATTCTCCATGTAGATTCCTTGTTGCGTGTTCGACGGAACATCTGAATTGTATACCATGTAAAATTCTATGTTTTCCAGCGACGTCCCTTGCGCAACTTGCCAGTGGATAGCACAGATGTATGCCGAGGGGTCAGTTGGTCTGATGTCGATTTTGAAGTTTCTAACGCTGCGCAAGAAGTTGTTTTGATTAATATACCACTCTTCATTGTCACTGACATAGACATCGGAGGTAATGACGCCCAGGCCAACGAAACTGGATGCAGCCAGGATGGTAGGAACTTCGAGGGGCTGGTGGCTGTCAGTGATTAAACAGCACAAGCATGCAGAACAATCGCTCAGCAGCATTGCTCGAAGAAACTTACATCACCCAAAAACTCAGTATTATAGTACTGAATGATTGGCGAGCTAACCAGGTATGTTCCGGCAGGAAACCAGACTGTCGCAGGGTAGATAGTACTTGATCCACAGCCGAGGCCGCAGCGTCCACCGTCCGAGATAGCCTTGTTGATGGCCTCTGTATCGTCTGTGACACCATCTCCGACGGCTCCATACTCGCGAACATCTCTCCATACCTATTTTGCGTCAAACTTAAGGAAATTAATGAGAGGGGAAGAGGGCGGGTACTTTATAACCAGCTGGAGCAAATGCACTTTTTCCATTTTGTTCCATCGTAGCCATCCAGTACTTCGAAGTACTAGCTCGCTTTTGGATTGCTCCATGGGTTGTATCATTGCCAAACACGATGTCATCGGTAGTACCGGTCGATAAAAAGTCACTCAGACCATTCGAATGTACCAAGGCCTGGCTTGGGGCATTGGTATCCCTGCGACCCTTTCCGTACTTATTGCGAATCTGGGAAGCCACGAGACTGTGATTTCCAGTCGGCTTGTTTGGAGTTGACTCGGCGACAATTCGAGCTGCGCGGGCCAGCTCAGTCGGGATTGAATATGCCTTGTTTCCGCTGGACGGGGTAGCTGTTGCGTCACGGTGGATGAGATGAGGACTTTCAACTGCTTTAGGACTAGTTTGATCGCGGACCCTTCGGAGATGCCCGTGCCAAGCCGGCCAAGACCTGCCAAAAGCGCACAAAGTAGGGTCCGATCTCCACTTTCAGTTCTTAGTTCCGCCCTAAAGCATGTCGGGACCAAACGATCTCATCGTCAACCTCACAAGGGCCTTGGCTAGTTGATTCGGTGTCTCAGTTGCATTCCTCGCCGCTATCGTTATTTTCTTGGCAAATGCGCTATTGACTACCATTTCATCGCTACCAAAATATGAAACATGTTCCTACGAAAATGTCGGTCGTTAGCGAGTGGTCCCAATATTTACCTTCGGCTAGATCCTTCCGAAGTGGGAAAACAAGGTAGGCCATTGGTGAGAAGTATACGCTAGATGGAAGCGAATCGGGGGGCCAAAATATCCTCATGCAACATCATTTCATTTAGTCCGGTGGCGACCCGGGGGCAGCAGATCTTGGCTAATATAATTTTGATAAAACAGAACGGAGAATCATATTGCCTTAATGAGCTCCCAGCTAGACTTGATACCCACCAAGAGATAATATCCTCCAGTATCTCTCCTGCTATGCTGGGTTCGTTCAGCCAGAAATGATCACCATACGCCCAACTGGAGGAGCCCTCCTTTGGCTCCTTTTGATCTCCTTCTGCTTTATATTTACCAGTGCCAATGCACAAGATTGCAGTGCTTTGAACACATGCGCTACTGGATGCTGCAACAAAGGCGGATACTGCGGAATCGGTGATGATTACTGCGGTTCCGACTGCGTTGCGAATTGTGATTACGAGCCAGAATGCAGTGTCTCGAAGCCCTGTGCAAGTGGATGTTGCAACAGCTATGGCTATTGTGGTCTGGGACCAGACTGTGAGTTTCTCAATCCTCTAAAACCTAGTTACCGTGTCTTTCTAGAGCATATTTCTGACATGAAATTTCAGTTTGTGCCGATAAGGTTTGCGTGGGAAACTGCGACAGCAAGGCAGAGTGCGATCCCGGCAAATATGGTGACTATGCGGAATCTTCCAAATGTCCATTGAATGTCTGCTGCTCGAAGTTCGGCTTCTGCGGCACTACCGAAGAATTTTGTGGCAAGACAAAAGTCAAGCGCCCTTCCTGTGACAAAGATGGATCTCTCAATCGAGTCGTAGGGTACTACGAGGGTTGGAGTCCTTCACGTCGCTGTAATACGTTCTACCCCGAACAAATCCCCGTGGGCATCTACACACACTTGAATTATGCTTTCGCGTCGATCGATCCAGATACATTCGAGATCGTCGCGGCCACCGAGAGCGAGAAAAAGCTGATGACGCGCTTGACGGATCTTAAGAAGGTCGATCCCGATCTCAAAGTCTTCATTGCCGTTGGTGGCTGGACTTTCAATGATCCTGGAGCCACCCAAACTCTGTTCTCGGATCTCGCTGCGTCGGAAAGCAATCAGAAGAAATTCTTCAAGTCCCTCCAGAGTTTCATGTCCATATACGACTTTGATGGGATTGATCTTGACTGGGAGTATCCCGTGGCGGATGACCGTGGCGGTCAAAAGAAAGATTTCGACAACTTCCCCAAGTTCTTGGCCAATTTGAAGAAATCCCTCAAGTCTACTGGTGGCCGCGATGGAGTCAGCATTACACTGCCCGCTTCTTATTGGTATCTTCAACATTTTGATATCGCAAACCTACAAAAACACGTCGACTTCTTCAACATCATGACCTATGATATGCATGGAAAATGGGACTTGGGCAGTGAATGGGTTTCCCCTATGCTCGACTCTCATACCAACCTAACAGAGATTACCAATGCTCTCGATTTGCTCTGGCGAAACGACATCAAGTCTGATAAGGTCGTCCTGGGTCTTGCATTCTACGCTCGAGTATTCACTGCTGCTGACCCGAGCTGCATGGAGCCTGGTTGTTTGTTTGTTTCCGGTGGAAACGCTGGGAAATGCAGTCAAGAAGTTGGCATCTTACTGAATTCTGAAATTATGGACATCATGGATAAGCAGTCCCTACAGTCCACGCTGGATAAGGAGGCTGCCGTGAAGATTCTCAAATTTGACGACAACCAGTGGCTTACCTACGAAAATTCAGACACATTTAAGCTGAAAGCCGACTTTGCCCGAAGCCAATGCCTTGGTGGTGTGATGGTGTGGGCGGTTTCCCATGATTTACCCCAATGTAACTTTTCCCGAGCCCTTGGAGATGCCGTGGGCCGAGAAGTGAAGTCCCTTGTCAACAGCGGTGAATTAGCGTCAATGGAGGTCAAAAAGACCCATCCGCAGTGCAAGTGGACGAATTGCTTCGACGATTGCCCTAGTGGATGGTCGCGGGTTCGCCGTACAGATGACGGTGCCCGTGAAGGCGAGCACATGTGGGATTCTACCGCATGTAGTTTTGGACAGCATACGTTCTGCTGCCCTCCTGATGCCGAACTTCCCAAATGTGGATGGTATACCCATAACAATGGCAAATGCAATTCGGAGTGTCCTTCTGGCTACACTGAGATTGGATCCAACATACAATACTGTTCTAACGACTTTAACGACTACCAAGCTGCTTGTTGTACAACTGAAACTCCCAGTATGAAACTTTACTCCAAGTGTGACTGGGCGGGAAAACCACGGAAATGCGACGAGGAATGCCCTAGTGGCAAGTCCGAGGTGGCTCTGTCAACTACCGGCAGTGGTGGTGTATACTGCGACGTTACTTCTTTCAAATACACAATGAACGGCCAAGAGGGCACAAGTTGGGAGGAACGCAGCTACTGCTGTAGTGAGGAAGACGATGTTGAATGGAGTAAATGCGAATGGCGTGATGACATTGGCCTGATGCTCGACAAAAGCTATGTTGACGGTTACTGTCTCCCCGGCTGTCCGGATGAATACGTGCGTGTCGCTATTGATCAACATGGTGGTGGTTGCAAAGGCGACGGTGGCCGAGCCAAATGCTGCTTGCCAAAATATTCAACAGTCAGCAAGAGATCATACACCACGCGGGAACAGAGTCTTGATGACTTGGTTAAAGGGTTCATGGATGATCCGAGTTGTGGAGCGGACGATTACAACTTGAAGAGGGATCTCGCGGGCTTTGAATATTCTGTGGGAAATACCTCTTTGTCCGATCTGTCTGGTACTCGAACTCCAACAACACTTCAACGCCGCTCAACAACCAAACAGCTAGATGCTATCTATACTGTTGCATACGCCTTGCTGTGCAGTTTACAGTTAATGCAGCCTACGAAGAGATCTGGAAAAAACGTGTGCTGCCATCATACCCACATCTTACAGTCAAGGCTATTCGCAATTACCTGACTACGTCTGAGGACTGGGCTGAAGGAGGTATAAGTTATAAACTAGAGAAGGTTCTTTGCGCCCCAAGCATCTTCGACAGCAAGTTTGCAGAAAGAAGCATTGTCTCCTGCGCATGCGAAACAAGCGATTGCTGCGATGCAAACGATCCGGATTCCTGTTCGGATCTTGACGGTGATGATGATGATTCTACTGCTCTTAGCAAAAGAGTTTTAGATAAGAGAGCCTCGCGAACGTTCGATGTCGATTTATCAGACGGTGGAGCGCATGCTACGATCACTTCTTGGACGGTATTAATCTTCAAGTCCCAATCAACGTATTTTTAGTGCTAATCAGACGATCAGTATATCGTGCGTGGCAACATTCGAGGAAATAATCCCATCTTGGATGAAGGTTATACCTACGATGACGCTGAGGACTGCCTCAATACTCAAATCGCTTTGATGTCAGTTTCGATGGCGAATATCGGAAGATATCAGGGTACGTTCTTGGTGACCTTGTTTACCCTGAAAGTTTACTCAATTTACTAATTAATCAAGTCGAACATGTCGTTGAGTTGAACACCGTTGCCTTTTTCCTGAGAGATGCAGCCAATGGGGTCCTCAGGTCTGGTGGTGTGATGAGACTCGGTCGAATTTCAGTGACCTTCGTTAGACAGGCTCTGATGGCGCCAGTTCTTACCAACCCACCAGTAATGACTGGTGCCGACCAATCCTTGACTCCCATGACCCGGATTATGCATGCTTTGGGTAGCCTGAACAACCAAGCTGATTTCAACCTTTTGCTTAATCGTTTGAACAACTTAAAATCCAGGGTATTTGATCATTTACAATTTTTTTTTTCTGGAGATGACCAAGTTACTTATCATTTCTTTTCTCTAGCTCTGGCTTTCAAAAACACTCATCGCTGATGAAAAAATGGAGAAAGCAATCTCAGCCGATGACCCGAATCGCGCATTGATACATCTCCGCGAGCCCCTCACTATTATTTCCTATCTCAACCATCTCAGAGTCCAGCCTGACATGATCGACACTTTTAACACAATTCACGTAGAATTCGGTCGAGCAGATACGTACTGGGTGAATGCTGGACATCCAAACCCGCAGTCGCAAGCCAGATGGGATGAATGGGTTCCTGACTTATTAGATAGTGCCACTCAGAATGTTCGCACGTTTGTTGAAAATTGGGGGGATCAGATGTATAGGTTTTGGGCAGTCCGGACTGGTGATAACGTTGCGCAAACGCTCGAGATCATTATGGCTTTGCGAAGACAGGCTAAAACTGCGAGGATTAATCCGAATGGCCTGGATTGAAAATATCAAATGACTAGTTATATACAAGATGTAGTTAGAAGAAAAATGAACTGAATTTATTTGAGCAGTGGGACATGCAATTCAACCTCTCATCTTTCACCCATTTGTAGCACCCTCCATATCTAAAGCAGTTGGTGGCGTATATACTGAATTGAGTAGCTCAATTCACCGAATCAGGAATCTCTCTTGCGACTGACTTAGTGCTTTATTGGTGGCTGTACGGCCTTTTCCATTTGACCTGCCCTGCTGCCGGCTCCGGAGCTTTCACCTTGACACGCCAAAATGAGAGGCTGCGGCCTGAATACTATTAAATTGGCCTAATTTATAAGCTTTGAGGGCATCCCAAAGAAGGATCTCTTCTTGTTCGAAGAAATTCGGCATTGTTTTGGTGGTAAAAGGCGCTCTTGGAACCGACTCTGCAGGTTCTTCAAACACTGCAACTAGGGAAGCTCCGTGACCTGCGTATCTTATGCAGTTTTGGTTCGTAGTTCTAAGTATTCGTCTTACGCCACTACACAGAAAGAAGAAATAGAAGTCAAACAGATTAGGCAGAATTCAACGCAATATAATAACATTTAACGAAAATTCTGTCTTTTCTATAAATTTTGATATTCATATAAATCTTCCTCTCTTCGTATACGCTTCGGAACCCGCCCAGATATACGCCTGTGGGCACAGCTTTTCTTTGAAAGAGGTATCCTGTCTTGTTCAATAAGCAGGGTACTAGGTATGGCTGTTGCTGTTGGTTCGATTCTTGGTCTCTTGCCAAGGACACTCTCGTCGCTTAGCTGATTCCGCTCAAATGTTGTATCAGGGTAGTCCTCTTCCTCCTCCTCATTATCGCTCATCAGATCGAACACTTCCTTTTCATAACTATGACCTTGCCAAGTCGATTTGCCCGCAAACGACTCTGGTGCCCCCTAAGCCCCCAAGGTCACTAGTAGATCTCAGCATCTCCAGTCAGGGTCTAACGGTCCCTTTAATGGACAGAATAGATTACCTAGGTAAATTCTTGGATAAACAAGATCCAGAAAACACTGAAAGAGTTGAACCAACAAATAGAAGCTTCCGAAGATATCAGCATGCTGGTTGGCTTTTGTTTCTCAACCTTAGAAAAGGGAAGACTTCGCTACAACATTAAGAAAACTCAAAGCTAATCAACAGAAAGCCCCAAACAATTGGCGAGGTACTGCGCACTCCGCACTCCGTACACTAGGGCAAACTCAAAGATTGTCTTGGTAAACTCGGTTGGGGTTTCAAATGTTGGCTTGGCAGCACGTGTTTGGAGACTCGGACTTTCCCTCCTCTCTTCTCCACTCCCTCAAATTTCACGCGAACATCAGTTCAACATGGACGAGCTCCAAAATAGCCTTGGCACTTACCCAGACTGGGGATATGTCATCTATCGCACTACCTACTCTGCTGAATCGGAAACTCTATTCCCAGTCGCTATCAGGTACATTGAAGCCTGTATTAAGAGATCATTCCTCCGAGACCACAAAGAAGATCCTACAAATAAACCCAACGAAATTTGCGCCAAATACCGGTCGACTATTGTGCAAGATCCCGCGGAATTCAATGGGGCGTCTCTCGAGGCAATTCGCGCTCATTTTGAAGCGTGGGTGGAATCTCAAGGCATGCGTGACCGCTGGACCAAATGGCGAATGTGCATGATTATTGATGAAGAATCTCTGCAAACACTGAAAGGTACATCAGCAGAGGCCCTTGAAAATGAGAGCCCATACCATTCCGATGATGAGCTACGATGTGTAAAGGTTCTTGAAGCATTCCCGGAAACAGATCAGTATGACACCTTTCCGGGGTGGATGAGATGTTGGACACGGTGTCTTTGGGATCTCTGGATGATGATGGGAGATGCTAGTGAGATGAGGCAGTTATTTGACGGCATTGATGATTTTCCATTTGAGGGGGTGTACTGCGGATAATTCAAAGCTGTTTCGGTCTATGGCATTAGAGATATGTGATTCTCAGGTTGTGGAAAATATTGTTCGACGGGCAGTCAAATAAAGAAGAAACACATTTTTCATTCATTGATCGCGATAATATATGATTACAACATAAGGCCCACTGTGATTGCAATCCACATGTTTAAGGTAAACAGGAGTACGAACAGTAGCTACATTCGTCAAAGAAGATACGGGATCGGACATTGATACCGATTAGTTGGGAGGCTTGCAGGTTTCTGTCAAATTTAAGAACTCTATCCTTTTTTCTTTGCTTGGCTGTTTTCACCTCGAGTAAACGTCCACCCTCCCTGTCTTCAGTAGCAGTCCGGCCCTCCAATGTAGCCCTACACAATAGTGATGCACCATAAACGCCATCAAGTTACACGTCACGCTTATAAGCCGGTGGCTCCAGGAACTAGCCAAAGTTCCCCGGAGCAAAGTATTGTTCCTGGAGGATGTTTAGCTCCCAGAGCTGGCCTATACGTTCCTGAAGTCGATAGGGCCTGTGTATAAAACTGTCTCTCAAATCCTTTGACTCGTCCTTGAAGGAAGTCGATCCCAGAGACAGCCCCATTGGCTTCAGGAATGTACAAGCTGACCCTGGGAGCTTGTGGATACACACATTGATGAATACAAACTCTTTTGATTCTCCGTTCCCGGGCGCTTTCCCTTATTATTCGGTCTTATAGTCCCTGTATGTGGCAAGCCGTTTCGTGCCGCCAGGGAATACCTTGAAACTGCTAAGCCAGAGGCATGCTTTCAATGCTTCGCAAGTGAAGGGCTTCCGGACAAGGTTCGCTTTCAGATGTTTCATAACCCCGGGTATGTTGCGCCACTTCGATACTATTCACCTTAAAGAGGAACCACTCAAATGCAACTGGTATGAAGTAGGCTTGCTACATCGAATGGCTTCCTAGCGCTATGCTTCTGATATACATCACGTGCGGAGTCGCTGGCCATGCTCGAATCCGATGCAGGGACTTCAAAAATAAGAATAGATCGGCTATAAATCAACGAAGCCATTGTCTCGGTATCGGAACTACCTGTGTGAAGCAGCACAAGGATCCAAATGTTAGGTAGGAGTCTGTGATAAAAGACCGCTCTTTATTAATTCTCGGGATTGGCCTGATAGCTTGGGAAGTGGATTCTAAGTCTGTCTTCGAACCAACGAAGTCCCTGTACCCGACTCAGCACTTAATGTTTTATATATGCTATTTCAGTTTTGTGCAATCTAATCGGGTTGCATATATATATACGATAAATCACGTAAAGTAGTGTCCAATTGTCTCTTAGCAGTAGCCTACTCGAACTGTTGGCTCTCGGGTATATAATGAGCCTTGTGCCCTAACTCTGGCTTAGTCAGACTTCTACTTTCCTCCTAACTACCTGGTCAACCTAGTACCTAGGTATACGTCTCTTCTTTTCAAGCCACGATAACCAGTCCGTTAATGTGAGACCCCTAGGTATGGAATGCCTAAGGGAATGCTATATGTAACGGAGGATCGGGAAATAGAGATAGTGATATACGCAGTGGTATATTGGAACTAATAGCTGCTTCTCTAAAGAAGCAGCATGCGAGGATAATATACAGGTTTGTGGGTCACATGACCTAAGGAGGCTGTGTAGGCAGTACGCATTACTCCTGTCTAGTCTATAGTCCCCCACGCACCTAGGATAGGTGCTCCACGTACTATGACAGGTATTATATTTCAGGTATCAGCCTTCTTAGTATTGGGGTCCTGATAATATCCCCCTCCTTGTGGTATGCATAATGCGGTCCCCGTAGGCTCGGAATAGGAGAAGAACAAAGGAGCAGCTTAGTCTATTAAAACCCATATATCTAAAAAACCTCGCAGTAAGGGTAAAAAGGTATATAGGGAAAGGTATCTAGCCTCAATACTCCAAAAATATAGAAAATGATATAATAGAAGTATAAACAGAGGGTATAGTATATATAACTGTGCTAAGAAATCAGGTAGCCATAGTCTCTAACGAATACAGTATATTAGTTGGCCTATAAACTCAGGTATCTTATATACGTAAGGTCTGGCTGAGCAGTTGTTTACTAGTAAGAGTATACAGTTAGGATAAAGGGAGATACCATACCTATATATACCCAGGGTGTACCCCAATTTATTATTACCTAATAGTAAAAATTGTGATTAATTATTCGGGTTATTATCCCTAGAGTCGATACTACTATTAGCTATACTAAGAGCTAGTATACTAATTCTATTATTAATTAAGGCTTACCTAGATCAAATCCGATTAGCAAAAAACGTGTGTTATATAGGTTAAGCGCCGGGAAGTAGGGTCTAGGAAAAAAGACTTAGGGTTAGAGGCTGCTAGCGGTCCTTACTAGCTAGAGACAAGTGCTCATAACCTAATAACGCATCTAACTACGTTATGCCTGAAAAGGGGAAAACAACTAGTATAGATTCGCTAAGATCTAATAGACGAGGAGAGAGAAAGAGAGAGGAAGAGGGAGCGGAGCTATCTAGTGATCTAGACCCATATAGGTGACCGCCTTCCGGTCACCCAACAAAAAGTGAGGGAAAGGGAGGAGTAGCAGCGAAGACGGGTCTTTTATGTCGGCGGCATTGAAGGTAGGTTACGTGACAGCGTATTGGGGCGCTAAACCCAAAAAGGCAAAACTAACCTAATACAGTAATTCACAGGTCCGCCGTTTACAATATCAATCTCATACTTACAAAGTACGAACGCCAATTCAACACTCCGTATGCAGTATAGATTCTCCATCTCTTGCTTGGATATACTAAGTTTAGGTTTCTAGTCCATGGATATATGCAAACACGGTATGGATCGTGGTATGTTCTTGTTGAGCCACATCAGATATTCTTGGCAGCATGATATCCATCTTGTATACATCCAGTACTGAATTTTGGTGGATTGAAAATCCTCGAGCCCCCTATCTTCCACACTGGTTCCCTTGAGATTGAAACTGTTTTCCTCGAGTACAGAAGATTCTCCTGAATTAGTGATATGACTACAGTGTAGTGATGCGATTAAAGA